CGTGGCTGCCGCCGGGCAGCGCAGGGAAAGGGATCAGAGGGTGCTGGAGGCAGGAGGGGGCTGTGCCGGGGCACGGTCTCAAGAGCCGCTGAGCCCCCCGGCAAGGATGACCCCGGAGGTGGAAGGCTCACGGGCAGGGCCCCCGGAGCGGGTGCGGATCCGAGTGGAGGAGCAGTCGTTCTGGGTGGAGAAGACCTTGCTGGTGGAGAGCAGCGAGTACTTCCGTGCCCTCTTCCGCTCGGGCATGAGGGAGAGCACGCAGGAGGAGATCGGGCTGGGGGAGCTGAGCGCGGCCGGGTTCCTCGCCATGCTGCGGGTGCTGGCGGGGGGGAGGCCCGTCCTCGGCAGCGAGGAGACCTTCCAGGCGGTCGAGTGTGCCGCCTTCCTGCAGGTGAAGCCCTTGGCCACGTACCTGATCCACTCCATCAACTCCGACAACTGCATCCTGCTGTACCAAGCCGCCGCCATCTTCGGTCTCCTGGACCTCTTCCACCGCGCCGCCCTCTACATCAGGGACAGCTACGCCGAGCTGGAGGAGTACCTGGACTGCCTCTCCGCCGACCTGCTGGCCTACGTGGAGACCCTCCTGCCCAGCACCTTCGTGGCAGTGGGAGCCCACACGCCCACCTTCGAGTTCCTGGAGGACCTCTCCAGGACCATCTGCTACCTGGACGAGGAGACCAACACGTGGCGGACCCTCTCATGCCTGCCGCTGAGCGCCAGCACGTTCCTAGCCGGCATGGCGACCATGGATAACAAGATCTACATTGTGGGTGGCGTCTATGGAGCCAGCAAGCAGGTGGTGGAGAGCAGTTTCTGCTACGACGCCGATGCCAACACCTGGAGCGAGTTCCCCAGCCCTCATCAGCTGCGCTATGATGTCAGGCTGGTGGGCCACGAGGGCTACCTCTACGCCATCGGTGGGGAGTACGAGAAGATCTCCCTGAAGTCTGTGGAAAGGTACGATGTGGCCTCCAGCACCTGGACCTTTGTCTCCGACCTGCCGCAGCCCAGCGCAGCGGCACCCTGCGCCCAAGCCATGGGGCAGATCTTCGTTTGCTTGTGGAAGCCGCTGGACACCACCATCATCTATGAGTACGAGACCCAGCGAGATGCCTGGCTTCCCGTCACCGAGCTCAAGCGGCACCAGAGCTACGGGCACTGCATGGTGGCCCACCGCGACAACCTCTACGTCATGCGCAACGGCCCCTCAGATGACTTCTTGCGTTGCGTCATCGACTGCTTCAACCTGACCTCGCAGCAGTGGACCGCCCTGCCCGGGCAGTTCGTGAACAGCAAAGGAGCCCTCTTCACCGCCGTCATCAAGGGTGACACCGTCTACACTGTCAACAAGATGCTGACACTCGTCTACTCCGTGGAAGAGGAGACCTGGAGGTTCAAGAGGGAGCGGGCAGGTTTCCCACGCAGCGGCTCCCTGCAGACCTTCCTCCTGCGGCTGCCAAGGCGTGACCACGATGTTGCGATGTAGGTGGGCCCCCATCCCAACGTTGGGATGCTCTCCTTGCATGCGGCCTCGGCTCTGCACCCGCCGCTCCCCTGGGCTCCTCTCCTCCTCTGTGGAACCATGCCCGGGTCCAGGGAGATGTCACGCTGGACCTTGGAGGTGACACTAGACCCTGCCAGAAGCAAAGGGGCCGCAGGCAGCTGCTGCCTGCCTCTGCCCGCTGCGTGGGCTGTGTGCAAAGTCCGACCAGACGTGAGCCAGCTTCTGCAGAGGGCAGATACCAAAGAGACGCAAACACAGGTTGTATTTATTCTGACCGCACTCAAGGTGTGCGGCATCCCACCTCCTCTCTGCTCCGATGGGAAATAATCCATTATATCCTGGAATTAAAAGGAAAGCTATAAAAAAGCCCCTGTGTTTTTCATTGCTTTTGGGTTTGGGGGATTTTTTTATTCCCCCCCCTCTTCTGAAGGAAAATACCTCGTAACAGGGGATCCACGTCAAGGCTCGCTCCTGCCCGCTGAATGCTTTTTCAGCTGCGGCTCCATTTCCGAGCTGTCCATGGGAGCGCGGTTCCCACGCAGCCCCATGTTCCCCAGGGAGTCCTCCACGGCCGCTCCCGGCTGCTGTGGGGTGCTGGGAGGAGGAGGGGAGAGGGGAGATGGGCGGAGGAAGGAAAGCATCTCCTGGGCACCGGGTGCTTAACGCACTGAGGCGTTTCTGGGACCTGGGAACCATTCATGTCCCCCTCCCAAGCGTGTTAACCAGCCATCATCTCCTCCAGGCTTGTCTGCCAAGCCCCAGCACACACTCAACGGGGTCACACTCATCAGAGGCTCATTTGAGCCAAGACAGGGTCTTTTCGGGACATAGCAAAGCTTGGAAATACACAGGGTGCACAAAGCGAAGGAAGGGAGAGAGCACCACCGTTGTGCAGCGATGCCAGGCTTGCAGAGGTCTTCTCCATCAACAGAGCTCCGTAACCAGACAAGTTGTTCTCATCAGATACCAGCCGCGGTACTGAAGGTTGCTAGCCCTCAGCATCGGCTCTAGGGATGGCTGGAGAACGCAGAGCTCCGTTTTGGGACCTTGGGAGACCTGCAGGGACCAGGACAGCAGCAAACCCAGACCATGGCTCAGCTGGTTCCCATCCGTGGGGCAGGCTCCAGGCTGCCCGTGCCGTCCCGGCCGAGACGGAGCGGAAGGGAATACCAGCTGGGATGCCTCAAATACCTCCGCTGCTGACCCTCGCCAAGTTCTCAGCATTTTCAAAACAGTTACCGTCTTTGAGAAAAAAAACCCCACACAACACAACCACAAACCAAAACAAACAAGAAAACCCCAGCTCGTATCCCTGTCCGGATCGAAAACCGCTTGATGCGTCTTGTCCCCATTTGTCCTCTGCCTCCAGGCCAGGCCACCACCCTGGTGTCATCCCCGGCATGGGGACCACAGACGGTGGAGGTGCAGGTCCGATGGTGGCACGGGGCAGGCAGGGGACACTGGTTGCTGGCTGAGCAGCACTGCTGTCCTCAGGCGGACCGTTCGCAGAAAGCCCGTCAAGTCAAATCCTTGTTCCCTTCCTAGACGAAGCCAATTAACATTTCATGGTGTCTTCTCCTAACTGAGAGCAGCACATGGAAGCACGCCGCTTTAAAACCGTTTTAAGTTGAGCAAACAGCTTAAACCCTCCATTAACATAAAGTTCAAATAATTCTGTTACTAAAATATTTCTGACGGGCTCCTGTGGCTAACCCGGGACAGCTGAGCTTGGCAGGCTCTCCCCTTCCCTCCAGCTCTGCCACCACCAAGCGATGCAACCTCTCCCCCCACCTTCACACGCTCCTTTTTTGACAGTTCAGGGGTTTACAAAGATATTTGCCGACAAAATGCAAAAGGTTTGAGGATTTTAAGTGTAGCAGCTGGGGGAAAGAGCAGGTCTTGGCAGGGTCTGTTGAGTGTGGCATGGGTGCTCCTGAAAGAGGAGCAATCTGCTGCACCCATCCATCCAGATCGTGATACTGAAAGTAACATCAGATGATTTTAGGTGCCCGGGGAGGAAAAAAAGAGACAGTTCTTACCTCTGCAAGCAGAGGGAAAAACTGATGAGCCAGGACCACGCAAATCTCTAACGGGAGCGAGAGGCTGCTCAGCCTTGGCACAGTGAGGGGGCACAATGCTGCAAACGTGCTTTGTCCCCCCAGAATTTAGCCCTTGGCGTTACGCGTTCCTGGCACCAGCACAGCGCCGTTATCTTCCCCTTTCAATCTTCACAGCTTTTCCTCCGCCAAAGATCACAGTCTGAGGCGAAGCGATCTATCTAATCACAGTTTAACCTTTTACAATTTTCTTTTTTAAGGTGACATCATCTTGGCAAGGATGAACGTAACGGAAAGCTGTCTGTAGAACGGACTTGCCTTATAAGGGCCGTATCAAAAATAAAAGCTTGTGTAACCAAGGGAAAGCTGGAGGAAAAACAGGGCTGGGAGCTCCAAGAAGAGCCTGTGAGCTCCCCACGAATATCTCCCTCGGCTGTCCAAGGTGCCACATTTTCCTTTTCAATGCCATTAAAGAAGAGAAGGTTTGAAGCATCCTTGGGTTGCTCATGTCCCCCAAAACCGGGATGCCAAGTTTCCTCGTTGCACCCAGGCGAGGCAGAAGGCAGCCGCGGAGGGCTGAACCCTCCCGCCGGTGTCTGGCCCCCACCCAGGGACGCAGGGAGAAGGGACACGGTGTTTGAAGTCGATGGCAACACGCTGGGCTGGCCTGGGAGATCGTTTGGAAGGATACAATGGAAAAACGGTCCTAACACAACTAATTAAGGACTGGCTCTGCTAGGTTGTGCCAGTTGGCATTTTCACAGGAAAAGACACAAATCCATTTACGAAGAACCCCTCCAGCCACCTTTACTCAAAGAAATCACATCTGTATCTAATTCACAAGAAAATTAGCTACTTCTGTGTGAAAACGCTGTCCACTGTTCCACTGCCAAGCCCAGAGACACATCCCGTACGGTGATCTGCACCTCCCATTCTCTGCCCTTCGGTTACATACAAAAATTCCCCCAGGCGTCCAGATTTTCCTGATCCCAACGTTCATGCTTGACTTCATTCGGAGCCGTTGTCTCCACAGTTTAGGGAAGCATCCCCTGAATTTGCCTGATTTGGGCAGAGCACGAGGGCAGCCGAGCTGTTCCCCGTCCCTCTGTTCTGATTTCATGGAATTCCCCAGGCAGAAACCCTTGCAGAAGCCATTTTTCATCGCGCTGGATAAGCTTCATGCATTTCTAGAGCAAAGGCAGCCTGTTTTCCTTCCTCACCCTCACTGAATTGTGTATTTTTCTCAAGTTTCTGGTTTAAAAGGAGAACCTAATGTGATCAGACTGGATTTCAATTACAATATTCAACCATGACTAAGTCAGCTGAGGTTCTTCCTAAGCAAGGACCAACGAATGTTTCTGCAGCGGCCTTCAGTTTTTACGAAGACAACCTCTTCTGCTGATTCATATAATCTTTTAAGAATCCACATTTGATCGCAGCTCTAAACGCAACACCCATCACCCCAGGTGGAGGGAGAAAACCATGCTCTGGGTTTTGCAAAGTCTAAACCGAAGGCAGGTTGGATCTTGTTGCATCTAATCCAAACAGCCGAGATGATCAAGGGTGGAGAGGTGTGGGTGAAGACACCAACACTCCTGCTATAAAGCCTTCACCTTAGCGCAAACACGCTTACGATGGATGTCTGTAAAATGAGACGAGACACCAAGCTGGTGCTTTGAAGCTTTGTGCCTGTGGAGCCGAGCCCTCGGGGTGGGGATGGGGCAGCAGAAGGGTGAGTGTGGGCCAACCCACCCGAATCCTCTGGTGGTCCAGGACGCTGGTCACTGGGTTTTCATCACGAGCTCTTCCAGCGCCTTCTCCCTCTGATTCCCGCAAAGCAAAAGAACTTCTTTGATTTCTTTCTGCTGGAAGCCCATATCGTTAAACTGAGCTAGCAAATGCAAGAATTCAGCTGCCTGGGGGAAGAAGGAAGAGAAGGGAGTGACGTTATCGTGGGGTTTGAAGGGTGGGTTTAGTGTAGAGTTGCAGCAGAAACAGCGCTGGGTGCCGAGGCCGCAGCCAGGCGAGCTGGCCGGGTTGTATCACCGCTGAAGGGCACTCCTGGTGCCACTGCCGACAGCAGAGCGAGGGCACGCGTGCCGCTGCTAGCGTTTAAAAGTGTGCCTGTACATCAACTTCTTAAATAAGAAATATTTAATAAACTCAGCCTCTAGCTTCACTTGCTCCTTATAAAGTTTAATACGAATTCCGTGTGTTTGCCAGCATTATAAAGAAATCAGGGAAAGGCAGTGTGTGCAAGCTGGAATTAATTTGCCCTGCTTCCCCCTTGCTCAGGCTGGGCCCCAGCACCACAACATCTCCCAGAGCTGCGTCCTCAATAAACAACCCCCTGCCTGGCACCGAGACCCAGGCACGCTCCCGCTGCCACAGCCCTGACGAGCGGTGAGCCAGCAATGCCGCGTGCCGTCGGCATCACACCAAGCAGCACCAGCCCAAATTTCGAGCTGTTCCGCTCCCCCAGGCTCTCCACTACCCCGGGAGGAGGCTGGTGATGGAGCCCAACGCCTGGCATGCCACCACGGTTCTTCTCCCTGCGGGGGCGAATACGAAGGGGGAGTCGGGAGGGAGGTAGCGAGCGCAGGTGCTGGTGGGCTCGGGGCAGGGGACCCCCCACGCAAGGGCTGAGCGAGCATCGTGCCTGCACGGCGGAGTGAGAGGATGGATGGAGAAGGGTGCTGGAGTGGGTGTCCTTCCCCAGGGGGGTGCTTACAGTGATCCTGCCCCAGGGTCTGCCGTTGAGTGCGGGCTCACTGCTTGCATGCAACGGGTCTGACCTGCCAGGGGGGCTGTGCGAGGGGAGGGGAGCGTGCAGACCGCCAGAAAAGTGAGCCCAGAGGGCTGCCGCCCCTCTCTGACCTTTTTCTCTGAGTACTGGAACATCTCCATGGCCTCCTCCACCTGCCCTTCCTCGTAGCCCTGCTTCAGCAGCCGGTCACAGGCACGCAGGTAGCTCAGGAACTGCAGAAGACGACAACCAGGGTTAATCCAACCTCGCAGACGTGGGGTGCAAGGGCATTCAGGAGCCCACCTTGCCGCCTTCCGGGGACACGTTCCTGGGGAGGACCCAGGGCGCAACTGTCCTGCCAGCACCGCGAGAAGGCAACATCTCGGTCCCCCCACCCTCCCAGGGTGGGAACGGGAACAAGGCGGAGGGAAGACGAGGAGCAAACCAAACATCTGAACCATCTGAGATGTAAAGCGATGACCTCAAGGCTGGGGCGAAGCAGAGCCTGTCCCGGTGAGATGTCTACATCCCTTTGATGCACCAGGGTTCGGGCGCCCGCCAGTCCAAGCACGAAACCACCCCAGGGGAGACCCATGTGCTGTCATTACTGAAAGTAAACAGTTATTTTTGGCTTTACTCGTTGTTCTTGGAGTGCTGACAGCACTATTCCCAGTGGTATCTTTTAAATACCACGAGAACCATTCACTGTCCAAAAACATATGGTATAGACAATAACAAATGAGCTATACAATAGCAGGGGGAATAAAAACATCCCAGGGGTCTCCCCGAAGCCATGCCATCTTCATCCAAGGAGAAGCTGACTCACGTCTCCCCAGACCCACCAGCACACAGACCTCCACCCTCCCCAGCACCGCTGTAGCCAAGGAGAAGGATTGAGTAAAAGACCATAAAACATATGAAAAAGCCATAAAAGTCCCTCAAATGTTGAGTTGATCATTTGGCTAAACAGCAGAGTAAGGATTTTAAGAAATGTCAGCCTTAAGGAGCGGCTTATTAACTCAGAAATGGGACAGGCAGTGGGCACTGGCATTCATAATCTGTTTTTCTCTTCCCTGTTACCTTACTAAGGAAACACCCCAGCCCGCTGCTGTGTTTTCTTGCCCTGTCGCAGCAGGGACAGCTGCTCATGGCAGAGCATGGCCAGTCCTGGCAGCCTGTTCAAGCCCAGCATGGAACTGGTGCTGTTGTCCACTCAGTGATTTTTATTAAAAAAAAAAAAAAAAATTAAAAATATATATATTCTCAAGACTAAACAAAAGCAGGTTTTTAAATACTATGACCTGGTAGCCCCGTCACGTCCGGCACCGGCCCCACCGCTCGCTGGGGAGGAGGAGGTGCCACTGCCACTGATCTTAAGGCTCCTTCTCCCCTTGCAGCTCTCAAGGAGGCTCCTTGTCATGCTTAGACGGGAGATTCCTCCAGTGCAGGCTCCCCTGGGAGCTCAGCTTTATCCACAACATTGCCAACCCAATGCCCTCATCACCAACTGCTCATGTGGGAAGAGACCTCCAGGCTCTGGCAGATCAGTAACCTGCTGATTTATCCCTTCCCTTATTTGCCGCTACTTGATGTTATGAGCAGCAATTTAGCGTTTCACAGCAAAGACAAGCATGTGCAGTAAAGTAACGAAAATCCTTCTTCCAGTCAGTTTTCCTCTTCCACGTCCCACAGAATCACAGAATGTTTGGGGTTGGAAGGGACCTCTGTGGGTCACCCAGCCCAACCCCCTGCCAAAGCAGGGTCACCCAGAGCAGGCTGCACAGCACCGCGGCCAGGCGGGTCTGGAATATCTCCAGAGAAGGAGACTCCACAACCTCCCTGGGCAGCCTGTTCCAGGGCTCCGTCACCCTCAGAGGGAAGAAGTTCTTCCTCGTGTTCAGCTGGAACTTCCTCTGCTTCAGTTTGTGCCCGCTGCCCCTTGTCCTGTCACTGGGCACCACTGGAAAGAGTCCCCATATCCATTTGGCTGCTTCCCATCGGAAAGGCCCGTCCCCGTGAGGTCCACACCTCAGGTGCCCCAACAACCGGGTGCTTGAGGAGAGCAGAGCCTTACCACCAAACATTTCACCGACCCACCCAGACCACAGACTGCAAGCTGGGAGAAACTCACAAGCAGCCACCACCAAAGACCCAAATGCTGCTTTCATCGTGGAGGCATAGGGCAAATGTCTCCCCAGTCTTGCAGCAGGGTTCAAGCCAGGGACGCACAAAGCCAGTGGGCACTACCCCTCAGGCCCTGAGCCTCGGGGGACAGAGGCTCTCCAGGGGCACGGGGAGACCCCAGCCAGCACCGTGACGGAGAGCCCTGCTCAACTCACTGCCGCAGACGCTGCTGCCAAGGATGGAACTTCTACGAGCGTTGGAGAGGGAGCCACAGCCAGTGGGGACAGCTGATGGAAGGCTTGTGGGAAGCGCTGAAGATCCAGATTGTTGCTTGGGGTAAGACAGCAACTTCTCATGGAGGAGGAAAGGGGCAGGAGCACACCACGGAAGCACAGCTGAGCGATGCATTTTTGTTTGATCCATGATCATGGATCAAGATGCAGTGATGCATTTTTGGTTTAGCCCTTGCCCATGGCATCCTAGATGATGGACCTCTGGCGCACTGGGATATCTAACCCTGCCTGAGGTTCTTCCACCACAACTGAGAAGGCATTGCTTCTAAGGCAGCAGACTCGCCTTCTCCACCAGGGTGGGCTCTGCCAGCTCGACTTGACACTGCAAAGAAACCGAGCAATTTTTGGCTACCATCTGGTACCACAATCACTCTTCACGGCTGAAGCTGTCATCGTCACACACTGAAAACCCACGTGACAACAGCAAGCAATGAAGAGCACCCATAGCTCTCATTTTTAACTTGCGTTGAAACATATTTTCCAGGAAGGTTTAGCCTAGTTTGGTAGTTTTGTACTTGTGAGAGACGCACGAAGGGCTATGCCTTGTGTTTTATCTTGGCTGTATTGGGCATAAATGGGAAAGATGGGAACTGCTGGCAAGGAAGATGCAGGATGTAAGGTAGACCTTGTATTTTGGTGCATTAATCTCCTCTCCAAGCAAACGGGAGTCCCTCTGTTTATGCAGAAAGGAGCAGACTGTTCCCATTTCCATCCTTAATAACATGCACTGCTTCTTCGTATCGAACCCCTGTGCAGCTCTGTGCAAAGAACGTGGGCTGGGCTCTGCCCATCTCCCTCTGCTTAGATAAAACCTTTACGAATTGAAGAAATAAAGCTTCCCTTCCCACCTCGGCTTGCAGCGACGCTCGCCTGAAGCAGCACCGAGGTTCTGGGGAGGCTGGTCCAGCCGGGGCTGACGTAGGAGGGAGCCAGGAGCCGCGGGATGACTCAGTTGCAGAGCAGCTTTGTGCACGGACCAGAGGGACGGGAGCTGGCCCCCGCAGCACAGGCAGCTCCTCGGGAGCACGGGCAGGAGCCCAGCACCCGGCAGTGGCTGCCCGTGCCTCTCCTGGGGAGCCGGGGCAGGAGCCTGGCACCCGGCAGTGGCTGCGTGGTGCTGTGCCTGCTCCCACCTCTACCCGGGATCCGCTCCCTGGCACGACACGCTGGTGGACATCCCTCTTGCTAAGCTGCGATCGAGCCCCTTCTCTCTCTGCAAGAGCTGCTTGGATGATTCAGCCCTATTAAATCCTCCAGTGAGATGGGCAGGTCCAGCCCCAGGCTTGCCAAGCCAGAGGGTCAGAGCCGCAGCATCCCTCACAGCACGGATGCTCCAAGCCCACCTGGACCATGAACGGTTCGCCTGGACAAGCAGAGACCTTGGGAATCAGGATGCAGCACAGCAGGCCGTGATGTGCTCAGATACCAGGGGTAGGAAGAGGTTGTATGTTAATTATTTTCAATAAATTCCAGGTTATTATAGAGAGTTCCTCAGGAAAAGAGATTTTGGACCCAGCTGCAACGCTTGCATGGAGTCCCTGGTGGCTCCAACATGAGGAACTTGTGTTTTGGAGAGAGCCCGGACAAATGTCCGAGGTATTTGTACAGTCCTGCTCTGACAGGATGAGCCATGGCAATAACCATACAAATCTTAACAGCCGGGAAAAAAATGATGTGCAAAAAGTTCCCATATACGGGGGCAAAATGTGTACTTCAGAAGGACACCATGCTCCACACAACAGATTGAGCAGATAACGTTACTCGGCCGTTATTACTCGCTGAAAAGCTGAGGGTGACTCATTGCTGTTTTATTACAGCAAAACTGTAGACATGTAATCTCATGGAAAACCCTGAGGTCTGATACCAAAGTGGGAAACCCCAGGCCATCAGAAGTCCACCCCAAGCAAGACAGCCATCCCTTCCTCCACGAAAATCAAGTTTTTCTTTACCAAAATCTTTCCGCGGCGCCGTGCCAGCTCCACTAACCTGACTTAAGCTTTGCCTTCCAGTCTTCTGGAGGGTGAGGATGGCTTTGCGGGCGGGGTAGCCCAAGGCTATAACGGGCTCGATGAGGTCTCGCTCCTCTTGGCTCAGCGCCGAGAGCAGGTCGGCCGCTGAGTCCAGCTGGGATCGGTGGGAACTGAGAGGTTGCGCAGGCGTGGAGGCAGGGGGGAGGCAGGCATAGGGGCTGAGGGACTGCAAGAAAAAAACAGCAGATGGTCTTCTTGCTCCAGCTCATGAAACGCTGTTAAACGGCGCAGGCTGAAGCAATGCTTTCGAGCGCCGGCTCTACCTCGCTCCCTCCAGAAGAGGAAAATTCCCATGCACAGAACAAACCCCCTTGGGCATCAAAGGAGACTGGACTTAATTAAATCCAGGCTCAGCTATGGATACAGATCAAAGAAAACAGCGCTCAGGAGGGTTCATGGGGCAAAGCGAGCAAAAGCAGCTTCCTTTCCCTGGGAACCCTGGTCGTCTCTCCGGCAATAAATGCCACGCTCGCCCCAGAGCGCTGCCCGCAGGCAGGGGACGCAGCGGCCCGGGCAGGAGCACACTCCCCTGATGCCCCGTTTATGCCCATGATGTTTATCAGAGGGATTTAGGTTTCTCTTACAAACCCATCTCCAGAAATGACCTTGCACATAAAAACGCTCGGCTGAGTATGAGGCTTTAGTGTTTGGCACGATCCCTTTGTAACAGCAGCGGAGCAGGGTGGGCAGTGGATTAGTAATTATTTGCAACAGCTGTTTAGTATGTAAGTACACACTGGCATTTAATCATTCCTTAATTACCTTATTTCTAAAGCAACTACACATAAATAACCTGGCCTTTCATGTGTCTGATGGTTTTAATTGTGAGTTTTCAGGAACTCATCTCCTAAATCTCTCAAGTAGCTGGATGAGATGTGATTTCTTAAAAAACATGGCGCAATTCAGACGCAAGGTGACGGAATGCAATCTGTACTCCATCCCTTCGCATCGCTGTCTCTATCGTTAAACAATCTGTGTTTCTAGCAGGACTGTGAAATCTAAAGTTTCCTGCTTTTAAGAAAAGACAGCCAGCCATTGCCACAGAGGACACCAATACGGCAAGGGAAGCCAGGTGAGGTGGCCTTTTCCAGCTATAAACCAGGGTGAAGGAGGGCAGTGAGCACCGGGACAGGCAATGAGGGAGGCCAAAGGGATGCAGAAACAGCCCGGTTTTGTCTCCGTCCAAACCCCGGCTTCTCTTCTGGGGCTGCCAGGAGGAGAGGCTGTGATGGCTGTAAGGGGCATTTCCCCATAAACCCCGTTTATATCTGTCAGAGGGGGAAAATGGAAAGAGGGAAAAAAACCTTCTTTCACTTGTTTTTTCATGTTTCAATTGAAAATCAAATCAGATGCCTTGCTTGTTGGGAAAAACAATGTTTTGGTGAGAACACAGCAAGTAAAAGTCCTCCCAGAAAGCCTGCCTCTAAACCCCGGCAAAAAAAACCCCTTCCTTCGCTGCTTATGAAAACTCATCAGCAATTTCTTATGGGTTCCCTGTTCCTACAGCCCCATTTCGGTTCCATTTTGCTGGCCAGACCACAGCAAACAGGACTGATTCGACGCCCTCCACCTCCCCCCTGTCCCAGCAACAGGCAAAGGGCCACCAGAAGAAATCACCTCACCGGCACCGTGGGCTTATGCCGTTTGAAAACTGCCCTCCACAGCGGCTCTGTTCAGAGGATGCACCAGAGCTGCCAGCTTCCTCCGCGCCGCTTCCAGCTCATTCTTCATGTTGTTAAATATCACCATGGATCTTCTCTGCTTTCTCGGGTCTGGGCTGGCTGGGCTGTGGTTGATGTTCTCCGGTGAGGGCTCCAGCAAGCCAGGCGATGTCTTTGGTCGGGTCTGGTGAAAGCCAGGACGCGGAGGCACACCTCTCCCAGCATTTCTCCTCCTGGAAAGCCTTTCATCCTTGTCGTTCTCCTCCCAGGAGGTCGAGGAGTACTCGTCGTCCTCCGAGTCGTCCTCCTCCTCTGAGTGCCAGGTCTCGCTCTCGGTGTCGGACAAGGCCCCTCTGCCCTTGGCATGCCCGTAGCCGCCGTCGGCAGCGCTCAGGCTGACGCAGCGCCGCATCGCCCCATCCCGCGCTCTCCCCCCGTAGCTGTCGGCGGGGGCCACCAGCAGCAGCCAGCCCGGTGGCGCCGTGGGGGCCACTTCG